ACTTTCTATAATACCCTGTATGATCTTTGTATTATATGTATAATGTTATAAAATACTGTAATTTGTGAAAATAATTAACTTAATAATTAATTAATTAACGAATTTATAAAATAGAAAGTATCAATATAATTATGTTAAATAGTTACTCATATTATTTTCTTCCCCCTTTCCTCACTAATCCCCGAATCCGAGCCATTCATACGATAGGAAACCTATTCACTGGCGCTGTTATCCAAGAGTTGGGTCACAACGGGTTCCACGGGTTGGTGGACCTGAAGATCATTTCGTTTGATGCCATTTGTATGCAAGCGTTGAGGAAAATACATCTATTTGTCGATATTCTTCACTAAATTCAAACCAATCGTCAAATCTTTGGAAATGTCTTTCAATTCATTACTCTTAACGACAACTGAATTACTATTCAATTGATTGTGAATTGCATTCAAATGCTTATTAAAAGCCTTTAGTTTTGGGAATAAACTTAATTCAGACATCAATACACTGTTAACTGAGTTTACATTCATTTTGATAACAATTTATTACCAAAAGAAACATAAATTATTATTAAATGTTTGGATTTAATTATAAATTACTTAACTATTAATAATTTACAAAACAATTAACAAATGGCTATTAGAAAAAGGCTTTGTGTTGAAGTGAATATTGAGACAAATTTACCGTTTTTTCTATAATTTCTATTCACAAAAACAGTGTCAAATATTTTCATAAAAGGATACCATTTATATCAAAAATTATATTAAAACTATTTATATAATTCATGACTTAATTAAAACAAGCATAATAGTTTAATTCTTAATAGTTTTAATAATTGTTAATAATTATTACATTTGTATAACATTTATACAAAAAATTGATTTTAGTTACAATTTTCTGAAAACTTGTAAACCTTTGATGCTATAAATTAATGCAAAATCAATATTTAAAATTCATTAAATTTAAACATAATAACAGTTATAAATGAAAAATAATAATTAATTAAATTCATGTAACACTTATATTACATAAAATTCAGTCAAAAAATAATATAAAATTAAAGTGTAATTAAATTACTAATACTGTTGTGAATACAGGTATTAAGGGGACTGTGAATGGGAAAGGGATCGGTGTGTACGGGGGGTATGGAATGGACATCGACTGACCCCTTACTGACTCTAAAATCATATCAAATATCGTAATAAAAGGCTTACTCTTTGGTCGCAAAAAAATCTTTAAATAACAATAAAATAACACAAATAACTCGGCGTACGAGTGGACCGGGATGTGTGTGTGTGGACAGGTGGGACAGTAGGTTTCCGGGAGGTTCGCCCTACAGGGGGTATATAATTCGGCCCCAAATCACAGACTGAATGAAGTCAGACCACGAAACTCGCGGACCGGACAGCGAGCTCTTGATCTCCTCATTCCTGGCGCCCAACACCTGACGGAACGGCACTTTCTGTGTCCTCAGCAGCAACTGGACCGTCGGTGGACAGTAGTCGACGGCGCCGGCAGCCGCTGTCGGTATGATGAGCTCGAAGCTGACCCGTGCGGCCACTTTCTTGGAGCCCACGATCCACAGGCATATCATATACAACGGCATCGACGACATGTACTCAATGCACAGACACAGCGCCCCCTGGCATGAGAGGGTCACCACGCGGAGCACCAGGAACACCAAGTAGTACATGAGCACCGTTGGCAACAGGAACAGTAGTATCGTGAAGGACAGGGTGCCGATGAAGAGCTGGTCGTTCCCATAGGAATAGCTGTCCACTCGAGCCCTCAACTGATTCCACTTTTTGCCGCGAAATAGTCGCCACAAAGCGCTCAACCCGACCACCTGTAGGCCATACAGGCGCGCGGCGTAGCCATAGAAACAGTATATATGAATGGTGGCCAGGGATACCAAGTCGGACAGCACCGATATAATGCACGTGAAGCCTAAGACCCCGCAGTAGACAAGCGTTTCCACAGTAATGGCGAACAACGGCTTAATGATAATCATATAAGTCTTCCAGAGGTAGATGTGGTACAGAAAGAACTGTCCCAACGCTGTGTTGAGGGGACGGTTGAGCTTAAGGCCGGCCGGCATTCCCATCAATAGGTTCAGTAGGGACTGGACTTCATTGACGAGGCTGTCGGTGTGCTTGAGGGCCGCGTCGAGCCAATAGGACGGCGACGAGTAGAACACGAGGAATAAAGTGGTGATAACGCCGAGTATGATGTCGATGGCCACCGACGACAACACGTTCCCCACATCGACACTAATCCGCTTATGCCGGAGCCCTTTGAGGGCCAGCCAACAGTGCCGGAACTGTTGGCACCGGTATCGCAACTGATTGCCTGTCGTCGTCATCATAACGGTGTCCATGAAGGCTGAAGTGATCTGTCGCTGGTTCGGGAACCAAGACTTGTTCCGGACGTGCGTTTTGTGGGGTCGGCGCCGGCGGTCGGCGTTGTGCTGGAACTCTATGAACGATGAGGTCAGCCGTCGCGGAAGCATTAGTCGCAGCTCTTCCCGTGGGCTACCGGTGCCGCCGGCGGGGTTGGCGGCCGACGACACGCGCACCGGGAATTGCGAACAGTCGGCGCTCAACACGGAGGACAGGTGTGTCTTAAACAGGTTTGACGTCTGTTTCAACGAGTCTATTATGAACTCAACGAAAGCCATCCTATGTTTTAAGACAACAAAAACAAACAAAAAGTGAGTCAAATGTGAGCCAATTATCACCACAACTGGTGATCACTTCAAGTGATGACTACCTGTTGTCTGTGTCGTCCTCTTTGCCAAAGAGTTGACTACTCATGAAGTCTCGGGTGTCGTAGTGGATGAGAGTGACGGCGCCGGCGTTTATGGGCCGGCCGTCGATAAGACAGCACTTGAGGGACAACTCGTTGTCTGCGAACAGCAATTCGCACCAAAACTGGCGGCCAATCACCTCCTGATTGCTCTTATGGTCGCCATTGAGTCCATTATCATCGGTAAGCAGTCGCTGCCGATGACCACCACCTCTGCCACCGATAGCGCCGTTACGATCGTCGAGGGCCGGCTGGTCGGTGTCAATGGTGCCCAACACTGATATCTCTTCGGGAGGGGACGAGTGGTAACTGATCCGAGTCTTCAGCGAAGTGGTGGCCGTTATGTTCACATTCAGTGACCTCTTGTCGAGGCGATGGTAGCCGAAGAGCACACCCTTTGGGGCGACAAACAGTTTCGTAGGGATGAAGATATTCACAAACGATATGAACTCGTCATCCATGGTCTCGGGGATCCACTTCCAGGTGATAATCAAAGAGTTTTTATTACTTTTTAAACTTTTTATTCGCTTTGAAATAATGATACAAATCATAAACACATGGCTTTTGATTGCCGTTTAAAATCGGTGTTAATTGTAAACATTAGAAATGGGTGTAAATTACGTCCAGTTTTTCACAAAAATATTTTGTGTAGTTTTTGCTGCAAATGTATGACTGAGTGACTGATAGGGAGCCGAATGTTGTGCACATTATGTGGACGTTATTTGTGAGCATTCTTATGTCATTTTGTAAATACTGTGCGAAATGAATGCAAAAGTGACTGCAATTTGAATGACATTTTCAATGAGTTTCATAATAATTAAAAATCTATTTTTATTGTCAAATGTTATTATAAATTCAATGCTAACTAAATGTTGTGTCTATTAAATTGTTTAAAATGTGGTTATNAGTGACTGCAATTTGAATGACATTTTCAATGAGTTTCATAATAATTAAAAATCTATTTTTATTGTCAAATGTTATTATAAATTCAATGCTAACTAAATGTTGTGTCTATTAAATTGTTTAAAATGTGGTTATGTTTTAAAATAAATAAATTAATATAAAATGTTTTGTGTGTTAAACACATGTATGTCTAATGTTTGACTAGTTTTTTTATGGGTACACTATATTTGTAGTACAAATTTTGTACTGTATAATGTATTTTTGAACTTGCTTAATTGTTTGCAAAACTTGTTAATCGTGTTTTTTGTATTATAAATATGTTGTGTAAACATTTGTTACGTGTATTTGTGAGGCTATAAGTGTTGGTTATAGTGAACCACACATAAGTGTCTAGTTTTATCACAAATTGGGTAAAAGTTTTTGAAGTTTTAAACTTAACTTTGATTTTAAGATCCGTTTGTGACGTGTGTTTGAAGTTTAAAATCTTTTGAGAAAAGTTTTGTAAAAATTTATTAATTATTTATTAACTTTGAATTTCTGGTGAAAAGCCTTTTAAAGGGGAAAAAAGTTATCTCATATAAGAATTAGCAGTAGTTTTAAGTTTAAATAAAATTAATTTAATAACTAATGTAATAATAAGTTTTTTACAAAATCCAATGTTAAGTGAAATCAATATTCAAATTGAAAACTCGGTTTGAATTCACATTTCCTGTGTTTTCTGTAAATTTATTTTTATACACATTAAAAGGAAAAAATTAATTTTAAAACACCAAACGTTGTTTGAAATCGTAAACTAAAATACAGTTTTATTTTTTAAGATATATTTTTTATACGAAAATAGTATTTACGGTAATATTTTTATACCAGAAAAGTATTTAACAAAATTGTGTTATATTTATATAAATTGTGTTAAAATCAGTAAAATTTAATAATAAATATGAGAAGTATTACCGTAAAAGCGCCGGTGAATATAGCGGTCATTAAGTACTGTGAGTATTACCTAGCTTAAAATTAAACTTATGTTAAAAATCTATTATAAAATGTTACAAATATTAAATCAGTTATAAATCCTTATAACTAGAAAATTATATTTACATTAATTTCTACGCTATTTATAATGCAATTAAAAGTAACACTAATTTCTACGAAAAGGGGGAAAACGGGACGAGAATCTCATAATACCACTGAACGACTCCATAAGCGGCACCCTTTCCATCGACGACATGTGCGCCCACACATCGGTGGCCAGTAGTCCTCAGTTCACGAGCGACAGGATGTGGTTGAACGGCGAGGAAGTGGACATATCGGCCAACAAACGACTCGTCAATTGTCTCAAACAGAGTATGTCTTACACCCTATCCCACCATAAACTACCAGTCCTTTCACACACACACCCCTCTCGTATCTATGAATACAGTCCGAAGTGAGTCGACCCACGACTGGACCCACCATTCCCTTCACATCTGTTCGCGCAATAACTTCCCGACGGCGGCAGGTCTGGCCTCATCAGCGGCCGGTTACGCGTGCCTTATGTACTCATTGGCCACACTATACGGCATCGAATCGCCCGAACGAATCTCATCCCTGGCCCGTATCGGCTCCGGCAGCGCCTGTCGCTCAGTGTACGGCGGTTTCGTGCAGTGGCTTAAGGGGACAGACAGTCAGACATCCGTCGCCCGACAGATAGTGGACGAGACGTATTGGCCGGAAATGCGAGTCCTGGTGCTGGTGGTGAGGGACACCCAAAAGGACACCAGTAGTACCGCTGGTATGCAACTCACTGTGGCTACCAGTGCTCTCATGAAGCACAGGGTGGAAGTGGTGGTACCGGCGCGGGTCGAGGCTATGGTAAAGGCTATTAAGGACAGGGATTTCCACTCATTCGCTGAGATAACTATGAAGGATAGCAACGGCTTTCACGCCGTCTGTGAGGACACATACCCGCCCCTGCAGTACATGAACGACACCTCCCGTTCCGTACGCCGATTCTGTCATCAGTACAACGAGTATTACGGCGCCAATCGCGTCGCCTATACCTTCGACGCCGGCCCTAACGCCTGCCTGTATCTGCTGGACAGGGATGTGGCACCTGTAGTGAAGCTGTTGCTGAGATACCAGACGGGTCTGGAGGTGAAGGGACAGGCGGTTGACGTAAATGGCGTGGAGTTGGAGTCGGGATTGACCGCACGTTTCGACGATAAGCCGTGTATTGGAAGCGATTCCTTGCGCTATATTATCAGCACTCGTGTCGGCTCCGGGCCACAGGTGCTGACCGATGAGCACCAGTGCCTACTGGACGGACAGGGGTTACCTAAATAGTGTGTTCATTCATTTGAATTATCAATAAACTATTGTTTTATATCTAAATTATGCTAAAAGTGTCTAGTTTATTTGCTCGCACATAATTAATTATGTTTTAATTTATAAATAATTTATAAACTTGTGAATATAATATTCAATTTTCTAACTATGAATTGAATTCATAAGCAATTATTTTACATTTACTGTACAGTAATATGATTTTTGTGTTAACAGTAAGGCATGTATTCAATGAGAAAACTGTAAATTTAGAGCTTTTATATATTTTTTGATAAAAGTTTGCATTTTGTGGCAGTTTTGTTGAATTGAATAACAATTTAATTTAATTAAATAGTCTTTTCATTAAATTGTTTGTAATTAAAAAGAACAACAATTCAAACATGAATTCAAGTGAAAGTCAATTGATGTCTAAAACTAAAGGCTTTCAATAAGTGTTTGAATGAAATGAAGACTCAATTCAATGATAACTCAATTGATTGTAATTTTAGAGACAATAATGAATTGATTGACAATTCAATTGATTTCATAAATTGTCTCAATTTGTTGAGAATTAATGCCAATAATGATAACACATTGAGTGGTGAACCCGAAGAGCACCGGGAGATACGAGAAAGGGATGAAGTGGTCGATGAGAGTGATGGTGAAGACGAGGAGGTGTTATCGACAACACAGGACTTCCAGACATTGGACACAGAGATGAGAGACTATGAGACAGAAGTACTGGAAGTGGTTTCAGATGAAGAAGAAGAGGATGGGATGGATGTGAGGGACGGACAGACAGACCAACCATTAAGTGATGAACACGAAGAGCACAGGGATGTCGAGGCATTGGATGTTGTGATCGATCAAAGGTATGGCGAATCAGATGTGGTTTTAGAAGATATGGAGAGCGGAAGTGCTGTCAGTGAAGGACTGACACATCGACCAGAAGTGGGAACACATAATGACAGCAATAATTGGCAGACAATTGGAGACAATGAGAGCACACGTGAAGACAATTTAGAGATCCAGCCCTTGGGTGTAGTGTTGACTGAGAATAGCTGTGAACCCGAAGCCCATGTCCTGTCAGACGAGACACAAGAAGTGGGAGGACTTGAGGACAGAGAGGACTCCAGTGATCGACATATCCCTCAAACCGATGCCTCTAATGATCGCCCGTTTGTCTGCTGTGAAGACAATTGTGGCAAACGATTCAAACGGAAGTCACATCTCAATGAACACAAACTCATTCACTCGGGAAATAAACCACACGTTTGTGATGCGAAAGATTGTGGCAAACAATACAAACGGAGACAAAATCTCAATGAACACAAAAATTGCGTTCATTTGAAACTCAAGCCATTCATCTGTGATGTCGAGGGTTGTGGTAGACGATTCATTTTGAAATCACATCTCAATCGACACAATAATGCCGTTCACTTAAAGATTAGGAAATTTATATGTAATGAACACAACTGTGAATACAAATGTGTCATTAAATCGGATCTAATGTCACACAAACGCATTCATACGGCAGACAAACCATACGTTTGTGATGTCGAAAATTGCGGCCAAAGATTTGGACAGAAAAGCAAACTACATCGACACAAAAATATCGTTCACTTAAAGCATAAAAAGTTTGTTTGCAATGAGATAATTGTGGCAAAAAATTCACCATAAAATGCTAACCTTAATGAACACAAACGCATTCACACGGGAGAGAAACCGTACGATTACCACGAGTGTGGCAAACATTTTAGACAAAAAGCAGGTCTTACTAATCATAAATGCATTCATTCGGGAGAAAAGCCATTCGTTTGTGATAACATTAATTGCTGTAAAAGTTTTAGACAAATATCACATCTTAATCAACACAAAGACATTCATTTGGAGGTGAAGTCATTCACTTGCGATCAAATCATTTGCGATAAAAGTTTTATAAATAAATTCAATCTTAATCGACACAAACGCATACATTTGAATGCAAATAATAATTGATTTGTTATTCAATGAAATTGTATTGAAATAATGTTTGCAATAAAACACTTTGTTCATATTTAATTTATATTTTAATTATAACAATGTAATTTTCTATTTACTACGGTAGTAATAACAACTACTATACATTAGAGCGCTGTACAGTAGAAAACCAAAAAATAATTAAATCAATTGCAGGATATTGTATTTATGACCCTGTCAATAATTAGAACAAAAATTTAATTTTGTTTTAATTATTAAATCAATCTGATTTTACATCTCATAGACATTTTATAATAATATTATATCCGGATGAGCCATATCATGATGGCGGACCAATTAGGGGTACACCCAATCACTTTAAGGACAGCCAAGTATGTCTATTATATAAAGTATAATCATTTAATAAAAAGTTTACTTGAAATGTTTACTAGTTATAGCTTAGACAATAAGTTCGGTAATTAATTAACAAATATTTAAATAACTGAAAACTCACCGCAAAATAATCTAAAATAATTATTTTCAACTCTTTATTAAATACACAATACTTAGCCATATATGTAACAGGCATACCCGTGCCCTCAGCTCTCAACAAACGGGGAACTACTGCTGATCTTTGCCATTGCCATTATCATCAGCCAATTGATTCATTAGATCCACAATGGGATTCACTGGAGGGACTGGTGGTGGCGGCGGCTGAGCGCCATTATCCAGCGCATGTGGGAACGGCTGGAACGGATTAGGGACAGGCGGCTCTTCATGGTAGGTGCCGTCCGGGTAGTCCACGCGCCACACATTCCTGTGCTCATAGGATGTGCTGCGGACGTCGCGCTCGACACGCCTGGTCTGGTGGTTGTAGTGATGACAGACCACCTCGTTCTCGAGGACAGTGCCCTTAGCTGGCGGTGGATCCACCGCCCGGATCAGCGCCCGGAACATGCAGTGGCCCGTGAAGGACAGGTAGCCTATCATCCAGGCCATCGTGAACAGGTGTAGGACGCCCTGGAGTAGTTCGTTCCGGGGGTCCAGTGCCCGGTACTGGTGCATGAGTACCAGTCCTATGACGAAGATCATTGTCCCCCACATGAAGGCAAACCGACGGACGGCGCCGGCCGTTGTATAGTAACGCTCGATGAGGGGGTGTTCGTAGAGGCGGTTGCATTGAGGGCAGGGCCGGTCGCTGCTCCAGATAATGCTCCGACAGTAGCACTAGTAGTGCCAGTGGAAGGCCTCGTTAGTGCACTCACACATCCGGATCAATGGGTGCGCCGGAGTGTCCGGCTGCCCCACCTGGGGGATGAACTACCTGTGCTCCAGCTCCTCCGGCTGCCCCACCTGGCTGTTGAACTACCGGTGCCGTCCTCCCCCACCATTTTTCTGTTGGATTGCATCAGCGGCCAATAGGTCAGCCAACCATTGTATATGTGGCACCGGATTGACACCTCCCTGATTACCCCTAATGTTTTGTTGGCCTCCCTGTTGACCTCCCTGTGGACCTGCCGGTGGACCCCCGACTTGTTGACCTCCCGGCCCAATGTTTACCAGGTTTCCAAACATTTGATTTTTAAGCGCTACGTAATACTGATCCAAAATCGACTGACCCCTTCCATTGCCAATGGGAGGAACTGGAGGGTTGATTACTCGGTGTGGTCGTACAGGTGGAATGGTGGTTTTAGTGTAACCCCTGCCCCTCACTTTGTCTGTGAATGACTGTCCAGTCGGTGGTGGCCTATTGCCTGCCATGAGTTTGCTGTCACTAATCTAATTGTCTGTAAATGTGGGGAATGGTAGGTATGAATTGTGTTTCCCAACTTTTATAAGTGTTTTAAACTTAGTTTTTAAAAAAAATAATTTTAAATTTAAAAATCTCAACAAATTTTTTTGTCAAAATAAAACTCTTTATTGAATGCCTACTATTCGTAAGTCATATATCAATGGCCCCTACCTGTGCGCTCAGTCTGGTCCCTCGGGTACGTACTCTATGATAAACTACCCTTCCACGTGTCCATCGGGGAACTCCACTCTCCACCTTTGAGCCGGCAATTGAAGCCGAGTCACCACATTGTCCTCGAGCTCGCGGGTCTGGGCGTTGTAGCCGTCGAGCACCACCTCCGTGCCGATGGGGTCGGGATGTCCGCGAAACACGTCCGGCCCCACGTGACGCACGAACACCACGTACAGCCCGATACCTACCAATTCGGTGAGCCAGCTCCAGTAGTACACTACCCCCGGAAAGGGCCCGTACTCGACGGCACGGACGGCGTGACAAAAGGCCATTCCTATCATAAACATAACTGTCCCCCACAGGAACGATAGGTCGCCGAATTGAGCCGGTTCGTGTTGGCCGGGTATGTCGCGGCGCTGTATACGCGGGTCGGTGTAGGGCTGATGGCATTGCGGGCACCGGTCGCTGCGCGTCCTCATTATGTTCTGACAGAAGCACTCGTAGTGCCAGTGATAGGCCTCGTTGGCGCAGTGGCACAACTGGAGCACCGGTTGCTCAGCTGTGCCTGGTAGGTAGCATACCTGACATATGGCCTCCTGAGTGTCACCCATGTATATGTGGGAACTGTAGGTATTGGGGTGAGTGTCCGTTATTTGCAGAGATTTGTTACTTTTATATTAGTTTTTGAATGCATTTTTGAATATTTTATGAATTTTTATTTTCAAATATTGGTTTAAAATTAGTTTTTAATCAAAAATGTTCATTAAAAATTGTGTTAATTTTTATATGAAATGTATTTTAGTAGACATTATGTTGTAAGAAATGTGATAGTTAATTATTTCAATTTAAAGATACTGAAACATTTATTAAAGTTATAATTAATCTCATATCTAAATGTGTACTTCAACTATATTTTATAAATTACACATTTGTTTGTAATCAAGAAATCAATTATTTATTTGGAGCCAAATGTATGCGTTTGTGTCGATTAAGTAATGATTTATTTCTGAAACTTTTATTGCAATTGATTTCATCACAAACGTATGGTTTGAGTCCCGAATGAAGAGTTTTGTGTCGATTTAGATGTGATTTCTGTCGA